TCCCTTGTTAAAACAGTTTCAGAAGCAGTCAATGTGAATCTCTTAAAGAAGTGTGTTCAAGTGTTTGCAAAGCAAATGTCAAAACTTAAAGCCACACACATTTGTAATGTTAAAGAATGAAGCATTTTCAGGCATTAAAATTTTATTTTCAAATGTTTGAACCCCAATATAAACTCAGCCACTTTATTAGGTACACCTGTAGAATTATGTGCAATTCAATGCAACACCTCCACCTTAACCTCTGTTTATGAAGCTCAAAATGTTTGTGAAATTGTCAAATGTATAAATTCAACTGTATATTTATTAAGGTCACTGTTAAAGATGGTCTTGTACTGGACTACATTATATTCAGGTGTTCCTACTATTCTGGCCCTCTCACATATGTAGCTGGGGAGGACAAAAATATAGAAACGCCTCTGAATATAATGTAGTACATTTCGCCAAAAACAAACATTTTGAGCTTCATGCACACAGATGTTAAGGCTGAACTGTTGCACTGAAGTGCATACAGTTGGACAGGTGTACCGCATGAAGTGGCCAGTGAGTGTATTTTCAACCTTTTTGAATCTTAGTTTTAATGTTACAGACTCTGTCACTGTTCTCACATCATACTTACAAGTCTATGGAAGATGTCAGTAACTTGGACTGTAGAGAATTTGGGTGCAGTGATTTCAGGTTTCTGATGAGTTTGAGCTGTTTACAAAGGAACCCACAATCACTATCATTTAATCATAGACTAAATATGATTTTTGATTGTAACATTACAGATATGAGTTACACTGAATCGCTGGAGCCTCTGCAGTTTCATCAAAGTCATCCTCTCGGTCCAGCTCTGAGTATTTGTCTAAAGAGCGTCTGTGTGTGAGAAACAGCACATCTTGCAGGATGTCCATCTTCCTCAGGATTTTGCATAGACCGTGGACACGCATGGCCTCCTCATGTCTGATCACTGCACAGCGGAGGTGAGCTTTACCTGGCAGGTAAAAACAGATTCAAGGCTTATTAGCTGCCTACTGTTAGCACCAAGGAGCCATATGGAAGTAAATCCCCACAGACACAGATTTGAGAAGTGTAATCCAGGCCATGCATGCTCTCAGATTATTCTCCTGGGGTTTGTGTGAAAGCTTGTCCACGCACAAAGCAAGGTGCAACCGCTTTTCAGTCTGCAAATCAAACATTTCCTGCAGGCACAGTTTTGTAAGAGCAGAAAGAGATTTAAGAGCGAGGGAGGATCCTCGTTGCGCGTTCAAAACATTATACTCTCAATTCTGTCCTCCCTCACTCTCAAATTCTGACTTGCAAAATAAACCTTATTTTGTGCACTCAAAGCTTTTGGCACGGACAGACTTTCACAAACTCCAGTGGAGAAATCTGAGCACGTAAAATCTGAAAAAAGAGCACGCATGGCCTGTATTACGCTCTAAAATCTGTATTTGTACTTACAAACCTGTGTCTTCGCGTTCTCAAATGCTAAATTGCAAACTAGGTAGCACTCAAAATGTGGTTAGAGCGCCATGAAACATTATGGCGAGGATCTACTTCCATACAGTCACCTAATGCTTTTTCCCTCTTTTATGACACTAGGCCTCTGCAGCTCTATGTCCAGACTAGATAACACTTTGGTGCACGTGGGCTTACCAAGCTTTCTTCTTTTTTCTGGATCTCGTAAAGCCTGGCTGAGTGATGGTACTGCTGGAGTGCTGACGTAGAACTGGAGGAAGGCCTTATCCAT